GAAAAACTCTTTTCCTCACCCAGATTTAGCAGAAGCACATCCATCCATGAAACTAGAATATTGCACTTCTTGAATGCATGAAAGCAGCAAAAACTGACCTGAATGATTCCTTGCAATAACAACAGAATTCTTACCTCCCACGTTTGACAGATCAGCTGTTAAACCTGTAAGGCTAAAATTCCAGCCCCACCATCAAGTCCAAGCTGTGATCCTACTGAACTTGTCACATCAGTTGTAGAGGCTGCATCAAGTGCAGATGTATCCACTCCCATCCCTGATATGTCTGATGCAGTGAATGGAAAATGGCTGCCCGATGCTGCTGAGGTGGCACTGACAGGTATATCTGACATGGATGACATGGCAGTGCCAGGAGGAATAGAATGGGCTACATCACTTGCATTGTTGTCCATCACCAAGCTACAATAAGAAGAAAAGCAGCTATTATCATCTTAACTTCTATGAAACCAAAGAAAAACAAAAAATCAAAGAGGAGCTAAGAAAGCCAGAACAAGATAAATGCAAAAATCAGATAGAATGAAGTAGAAACAACAGAGAGAATACTAGGTATCTAAGAATTATGGCCCTAAAACAAACTGAGAGGAAAATGAAATTTTTAGCTAACCCCAATTGCCCAACTGGTTTTGGATGAACTGAGTTGGATAGGAGTTCTATTGCAGTGCCATAACCTCAATACAACCAGAGATGTTATATAAGTAAGATAAGAGGGAAAAGGACTTGGGACCATCAAATTGTTCATTAAGCAACTGCATATGATCAAATTGAAATAAATAAACAGATGGCTTCATGCAAAAGGGGCCTTCACAATTGTATAACTGAATGGAGGAGATTCAATGTGCAATCAATTAGGAGAATGAAAAAAGGTCAAGCCCTCACTCGTTCCCAGAATTCATTTGCATAGGTTGGAAATTGCCTGGTGCAGGGACTCCATTGACAACATGACAGCTAGATATTCCACTTCCCATAGGATCAAGATGTGGTTGACCAGGAGGAACTGAAGGCTGTTGCAGCACAGGGTATCCCATTGGCAAATTGTTAACTGCACTGAATAACCAGAACTGAATAATAATGAAAATGATATAGGGCACTAAACAACCATAAAACCAACTCTTGCAATAAAAATTCATATTTTAACCATTTCTGATTTTGGTCAGAATTTTCCAGGAATATATTAAATAGCTCTAACTCATGTCTTACCTTGAAACCAAACGTTATACAATAATACCATGGCCACTATATGACACTCTAAATTTAAAATTCAAGCACCTCCATATAAATATTTGTCAACTTTCATTTGATTGAATACCTTTATCTTTTGCAGGCTTGATAGAAGCCATTTGAGCACTCTCCAAAAATATAATAGAGAACCCATATTGATTCCTTTACTATAAAATTTTAATCAGTGCATTTCCATTAACCAGTGTTAAGCCCAAACTTACCAGGCATGGGATGAATCCCGTTCTGTATTGGGGCCAAGGGAACCTTAGAAGGTACAGGGTATTTCATGAGATGATATTGATGCTCAAGCAAATTATTGAACAAAACAATTTGCTTTTTCAATTTCTGCCTTATGTAATAGGCCCTGAAAAAATCAGCATTTTCCTCTTCCAACTTCTGCCACAATCAACAAAGAAAAGCCATTAAGAGACATTCAGACAAATGTTGCTGTTGTGCTGTTGAACACATAATATTTTGGATAAACACCCACTTACATTAAAAAATTCAGGTCATATGGCAGTAGAAACATTTTTGTTTTGTTGTAATAACATGTTCCATTCTACTTCACTGACTGCAGCCATTACTGAAAATTACAGCTTTTAAAAAATAACAATGAATGAAGGATATACAAACTTATTAACAGATTGTAAAATGGCCTACCCAATGTTGTAAACCCAGGGTCTATTCTTGCCCAAGTCAAGAGGATTTTGACCACCTCATCTCTATTCATATACAACTGCAAACACCGTTCTATTAAATTCTGGACCTGTAAAAACCATTTCAAAGAAATTTCCATCACCACCAATAATCAAGAATCAATGAAAGCAAACAATTACATTAAGAAAACATAATAAAATCAGCAAATAGATAAACCCCAAGAAGATATTTGCACCTCACAAGTTCAATATCTTGGCGTGAAACTTTTCTGTTATCATTGCTTGAAGCAGATACTGAACCAGAGTCAGCTAAGGGAGCCTCTATTGTTTGATTATTCTGGTGGTCATTTGTGATTCATGTGAAGCTTGAGAGGATTTTACTTCTTGTGTGCTCTGTAATCCAAAAGACATGCTCTTTATCTTAAGCGATAAGCCCAAATATATGCTATGCAAGCTAGTGATTAACGGGCCTTTGATATGTAATTTCCAGGAAGTTAGACTGCTAGTTAGGCTATTTGAACTGTTAAGTGCCCTAATATATACCCATACAAAGAGAAATAATAATAAATGTAAAGGAGAGGGGCCAAAAAGGCACAAGATCCTGTGAGAAGAAGAGCACAATAGAAACGAAAAAAGAAAACAGCAAAAGGAATTAAGTTGAGATCTAAAGCAACCAAGGCATGATTCAGTTTTGAGCTTATAGTAGTGAAGAGTGGTGTCACCTGAAAGTGTGAGACTCAGTGATGAAAGCAACTACTTA